GCCTTAGACACAAAAAGTAACTGGGTGACTTAGTACCAATCACCAGGAGATGGCGAGTTCTAGTCCCGCCTTAGACACAAAAAGTAACTGGGTGACTTAGTACCAATCACCAGGAGATGGTGAGTTCTAGTCCCGCCTTAGACATGAAAAGTAACTGGGTGACTTAGTACCAATCACCAGGAGATGGTGAGTTCTAGTCCCGCCTTAGACATGAAAAGTAACTGGGTGACTTAGTACCAATCACCAGGAGATGGTGAGTTCTAGTCCCATCTTAGGCAGGAAAGCCAGTTGGAGGATCTTGGGCCAGTCAGTTACTCTCAGCCCAACTCTCTCCGAGGGTTTCTGTTTGTGAAGAAAATGGGAGGAAGAAGGTATTTTAGGTATGCTTGCCACCTTGAGTTACTTATAAAAAGAAATACAGGTGAGATATAAATAAATCAGCAAAATCTCCAGAGGAAAAACGAGAACGAAGTTAACTCTTGACTGAAATACACATTACATTTTTTAAAAAATAGAACATTTATGCTAAGATCTGATTGCACATCAGCCAGGGATATAAATCCGATAGAAACAAGACTAAAATCAGCTGGTTGCATTTCTGTACATCCAGTTGGCAGTAAAACCGTTTTGAAAGAGAAAAAGAGAGGAAAAACAGGGGGAGGAGGGTGAACAAACAGGTTGCTTCCAAGTTAAATCAAGGTCTTTTTCATCCTCAGGTAGATTGCTGACCAACCCTGCATAAAAGTCACGAGATTTCCTGCCTGCCTTACAAGGCTGCAATTTTGAGCAGCCTGGAATTATTTTTAGTCACCTGGTGGTGTAAATATCCCCTGGGGAGTTGGAAGAGCTGGATGAGGCATGAGAGAAGCAGTAACGGTTACACCTTTGCAGCCTTTATCAGGAAACACCTCTGCGTACACACACAGAGACAGAGAGAGAGAGACAGACAGGCAAGCAGAGACAGACAGACAGACAGACAGCGAGAGAGAGAGACAGAAGACAGTGAGAGAGGCAGCAAGAGAGGCAGAGACAGCGAGATACAGAAACAGAGGCAGCGAGAGAGGCAAAGAGCGAGAGAGAGAGAGAAAGAAACAGAGGCAGCGAGAGAGACAGAGACAGCGAGAGAGACAGAGGCAGGCAGAGAGAGAGATACAGAGAGGCAGGCAGAGAGAGAGAGAGACAGACAGGCAGAGAGAGAGACAGACAGACAGACAGCAAGAGAGAGGTAGAGACAGATACAGAAACACAGGCAGCAAGAGAGGCAGAGACAGCGAGAGAGAGACAGAGACAGAAGACAGTGAGAGACAGAGAGGCAGCGAGGGACAGAGAAACAGGTAGCGAGAGAGGCAGAGACAAGAGAGAGAAACAGAGACAAGACAGAGAGACAGCGAGAGAGTCAGAGACAGCGAGAAAGAGAGACAGAAACAAAGGCAGCGAGAGAGGCAGAGACAGCGAGAGAGAGAAACAGAGGCAGTGAGAGAGACAGAAACACAGGCAGCGAGAGAGAGGCAGAGACAACGAGAGACAGCGAGCGCGAGAGACAGAGAGACAGAGACAGACAGTGGGAGAGACAGAGTTCAAACATCATACAGATAGTCCTTGACTTAACCATTTGTTTAGTGACCAAAGTTAGAACGACACTGGAAAAAGTGGGTTATGGCCATTTTTCACATTTACGATCATTGCAGGATCCCTGGGGTTGTGTGGTCAAAATCCAGCCGTTTGGCAACTGATTCATATTTATGACGGTTGCAGAGTCCCAGGGGGGGGGGGAGGGTCACACGACCTTCTGACAGGGAAAGCCAATGGGAAAAACCCAAATTCACTTCACAACTGCGTGACTTCATAACTAAAGGGATCCCCTTCGCAGCCGTGGGCATCCCAGGTCTTAAAAATGGGCCGAGCTTCACTTCACAAATGCCTCACGTGAATTTTGGGTTCGGTTGTGGTCCTTCAAAGTCGAGGACTAGCTGTAATTGAGGGAAGGAAGACCCCACCTCACCTTTTTCCACCCTGCGGCAAATGCAAGGACAGGTCGAAGGATGCTGGGGAGCAAAACACACCTTAGAAAGCATCAATCTTGTGCCCTGCAACATTTCTTTAAAAAATTGGGGGAGGAGGAGGAGGAGTTGGTCCTGAGATGCTGGCTTTAAAAGGTTGGGGAAGAGGTCCCTGAGAAAGATGGTCTAGGTATGGTCAGTTGGGACCACATCACCTTGGCTGGTCTAAATGGCCATAGAGGTGGTGTCAACTAGGGTCAACCATCGCTGATGACACCACCTTCATGAGGTCTTCTGGCTGTTGAATGTCATCAACTCCCTTGCTGGTGAAAGCCAACAGAGATATTTCCAGGTGATGGGAGTTATAGTCTCTGGCTCCCAAAGCCTTGTGCCGAAATGAACGATTGTGCTGTTCATCTGACGGGAGAGATTGGGAGAATTTTCAATCGATAGACCAGCACGGAGGTTTGAAATGGCCAAGGAATCCAACTTCTTTGCACGAGGAATGGTGGCTAGAGTTCCTTCACATAGGAGGGGGTCCCTTGGAGCTGCTAACCCAGGAATGTGGAGATGAAAACACTGGTGTCCAGGTTGAGGGTCGCGTGCCACCAGCGGTCCGGAAAATAGAGAATCTGGAAAGGAAGAGAGAATGACTTCAGAGGCAATGGCTTTGTAGAAGATCCTTCCCTCCTTCCTTCCTCTTTCCCTCCCTGTAGAAACAATCCCTTTCTCATCGTCTACCCGGATTTCTCTCATCACAGGATGGTATCATGTGGCTGGAACAATTAATTCCTTCCTGACTTCCATCCCGCTTCCTTCCTTCCTCTTCCTCCCTCTTGCCTTATTTCCCTCTCTCCCACTTCTTTCCCCTTTCTTCTTTCCTTCTCCCTCCCTTCTTCTTCCCTCCCTCCCCCTTTTCTTCCTCCCTTCCTTCCTTTTTCCCCACCCTTCCTTCCCTTTCTCCTCCCTTCCCTTTCTTTCCTTCCCCTTCCTTCCTCCTTCCCTCCCTGCCTTCTTTCCTTCCCTCCCCCTTTCCTTCCTCCCTTCCTCCTTCCTTCTTTTCCTCCATCCTTCCCCTTCCTTCCTTCTCCGTCCTTCTTTCCCTCCCCCCTTCCTTCCTTCTTTCCCTCCCTCCCCCTTCCTTCCCTTTCCTTCCTCCCTTCCACATTCCTTGCTTCCTTGATGGGACCAAAACTGCTTATCTGCAGAGTTCACATCTCATTCTTAGCCAATGTTTCTCAAAATTGCCAATGTGGACTTCAACTCCCAGAATTCCCCAGCAAAGGGCAACTTTAAGAACCATCATTCTAAAACGGTGATCCACAGCAAATACCCTGGGGCTCCAGCCAACCCTTCAAAGCTTGGAATCCAGGTATTCCTCGACTTCACGACCATACTTGAGTCCACAACTTTGAATGTAAATTGTGACAACTGTAAAGACACATGATCTGATATAAGAAACGTTTCCTGTGGCAATTGAAAAATAAACCCATTGTTTGCTACGGGGGAATTTTGGCTGAAAACCAGAAATAAATGCTGGTTTTTAACAAAGATGTCATAAACTGCAGTCACATGAGAGTGGGGTGAATGGCCATAAATGCGAGCCGGTTTCCAGGTGAATGTGGTCACTTTGAATCCTCTTTGTAAGTTCCATTTTCAAGAGTCCACCCCTAACTTCAAAGGGTCCCTGAGCAACCAGTCGTAATTCGAGGACTACTTACAAAAGCCCCAAAGACTTCCTGAATCATAATTTTCACTGTACAGAAAAGGGAAAGCTTTTCCTACACGACGGAAGAATCCTCTTCCATGCGCAGAATTTGAACTGCGTGCAGAGGTTGGGAACCTTTGTGCCTAAAGCAGTTGTGTTGTGAATCCAGGCAACTGTGCCCTGTTTCCTAAACCACAGTTGGACCAAGAGACCTTGGCATGGTTTCTTCCTGGAAGTCCCATCTGTACATGGGGCAAAGGGAAGTATGCGTATACACACAGCTCTACAGCAACCTGCTGTTGTGACCTGCCAGTGGCCAGTGGAGCTGGCAGCAGATTCGGGCAGTGAGGAGGTTGGGGAGGAACATGGGCCAGTCCTGGAGTTGGAGAAAGACTCTGTTGAGGGCTCTGTGTTGGAGGCAGAGAGGGGGCCAGGGCCGTCTGACAGTTATCAGCTGCCTTCGGATTCAGACATCGGTGAGGCAGAAGAACAGCTGGAGCTTGTCTAGCAGCAGAGTCGGACAGTGAGGAGGTTGGGGAGGAGCATGGGCCAGTCCTGGAGGCTGAGGAAGGTTCAAACAAGGGCTCTGTGTCGGAGGCAGAGGTGGGGCCAAGGCAGTTCTCAGTTGCCTTCAGAGCTAGACAGCAGTGAAGCAGAGGAACAGCTGGAACCTGTTCCCAGTTTGCGCATGCACAGAGCTGCTAGAAATAAAGAACAGCTCAGAAATCAGGGTCGACTTGGGAGTAAAAACACAGGTGGACACTGAATGGCACCTCTCATAGGAAATAAAAGAGGAGCGAAAGGGGAGGGGGCTTTTGCAGGAAACAATTTGTTCCTTCGTTTCAGGAGTGTGAAGATCTGTCCGTGAATCCCAGAGACTCTGTGCCCAGTTTTTCCTTGCACAGCACCTCATTTGGAAAAATATTTACATGGCAGCTTTCCAAGCTAGATGAGTTCTGTGGTCATAACTTCACCCTTGAAAGACTGTTTGCCAGGCTTTTGCTGAATGAGAGGAATTCACGTTCATTTAATAAAAGGGGTTTTCTCGGGACCAGGACTTGGCTTCGTGCTTTTTGGGGAAGCCTAGGTCACAACACCTGCCTCTCCTGGATGGATGGTGCACTCCACCGGCTTGTCCCAGGGAGCCAAAGAAGGGTACGTATCCAGGAACCAGGACAAAGTTGTCCTATTGGGGTGGAACGCTGGTGTTTTCTCTGGAGGATACAGGAACCAATGCTGGGAAGAGAGAGATTTCAAGCTGTAAGAAACAAGCTTTATACCACTGCATGATATTTCAGTACTTCTCCTTAGTTCAGGTTAGTTTAATTTAGTTTAGTTTAGTTTAGTTTAGCTTATCTTAGCTTAGTTTAGCTGTTGGTGTCTTATTTCAATTGTTTTCCTTTTTTTCAAGACTCCAGTTTGTCCAAATTCCTTGTTTTCAGTCTACCATTTGGTTTAGTTTAGTTTATTGTCATTGCACCTCGTACAACGAAATTAAATGCCATCTTCAGTGTACATTATAACTATAAAAATAAAAACACAAACACACTTCCTTCACATGGTATATAATTGAAATTGAAAACCCAATATTGCATTAATATTGCACTACACCGTCTTCCTCCAATTACTCAGAAATCTTGTCTTTCTCTGTCCCCCAATGCTAAATTTTTAAAGTCATGTTGAGGTTTAGTAGAGAATAGGACATGTTTTTCAAGCTAAGCACCTTTGAGATGTGTGGACTTCAACTCCCAGAATTCCCCAGCCAGGAGAACTAGGTCAGGTTTCTTCTCTTCTGGAATAGCCATGATGCCGAAGTGGCCCGCAGAACCATGTTGGCTGGCACATGCAGCATTGCCCGTTCCTCTTCTGGGTTTCTGGCATCCATGCGCATGATCGTCATGCGTACATGCGCAGTAGTAACCGGAAGACAAGCTGGCCGGTGTGTATGCTAGAAACCGGAAGTTCATTTCCCAGCACACGCATGCCCACTTGGCAGCTTCTCTTCCGGAACACTCCCTTGATGAGCCCGTGTGCACACACTCTATTTTTGGCACTCAGTGCCAAAAAGGTTCACCATCACTGTAGTATAGGGTCTCCTGCTTGAGCAGGGGGGGGGGTGTTGGACTATAAGGCCTCCAAGGTCCCTTCCAACTCTCTTCTGTTCTGTGCTTCTCAGGTGCTATCTCCACTCCCATTCCTTCTTTTATGTGTGTGTGTGTTTGTGTATTGCATTTGTGCTGATAAATAAATAAAGGGAGACTAGTATAGATCTTTTTCAAGCTATTTAG